AGGATTTTTGTTTTCTTGACATTGAGATGCAATCCATATCTAAGGCTGTGCTCTTTGATCTTCATAAGTAAATGTTTCAAGTCCTCTTCACTTTCAGCAAGCAACTGAAGGTTGTAATGTTGATGTCATGTTCTTCTGCAATAATCCAGTTTCTTAGATTGTCTGCACAGCATACAGACTGACATACACATTTACTGATTTTAAACTATGCAGCATCCTCTTATTCTATGAGACTAACTGCCTCTTGGTTTATGTATAAGTTCCTCAAAAGAACAATTAATTGTTCTGGAATTTCCATTCTTCACAATGTTATCCACAGTTTGCTATGATTCACACTGGTAACATACTCAATAAAACACAAATGAACATCTTTCTGGTATTTTCTGCTTTCAGACAAAATCCATCTGATAACAGCAATGATATACCTAGTTCAATATCCTCTTCTGAATCCAGCAGGAAATTCTGGATGGTCCCTGTCAATGTGCATCTGAAACTGTTTTTTAAATATCTTCAGCAAATTTCTACTTGTGTGTAATGCTAATGACATTTTTCAATAATTTCACCATTCTGGTGGATCACCTTTCTTTGGAAAATGCACAAATATGGATCTCTTTTAGTCTGTTGTCTATGTAACTGTACTTCCAGATTTCTTGGCATAGACAAGTGAGTACTACCAGCACTTCATGTGTTTATTGAAACATCCAATTGATATTCCATTAATTCCTGTAATCTTCTCAATTGGTATTCCATCAGTTCCTGTAGTCTTGTTGGGGTTTTTTGGCAATACCTTCAGTGCATTTTGGGCTTCCTTTCCCCAGTACCATCAGTTCTTAATCATATGCTTCATATTGTTGTTGTTGTTAAATGCCATAGAGTTGGTTCCAACCCATAGCGACCCTGTATAGGCTTTCTGAGGAGCAATTGCTGAATTTGAACTGCAGACATTGAGGTACAAACCAACTTTGTAGTCCAGCACATTAAACCACAGTGCTACAATAGAATCTCTTCTGAGATCCATTTTGATCTTTTCTTTCTTTTTTGTCTGTTTAATAACATTTTACCTTATTTATGTGTGTTCTTGATGTCATCCCACAACCTGTCAGATCTTCAGGCATTATTGTACAATGCCCTAAATCTCTTCTTGAGATGGTCTCTTAATTCAGCTGGGATATACTCAAGGTTGTATTTTGGTTCTTATAGATTTGTTTTAATTTTCTTCAGCCTCAACTTGAACTTATATATGAGTAATTGATAGCCTGTTCTATAATCAGTGCCTGGCTTATTCTGATTTATTATATTGAGCTTCTTCATTCTTCCCACAGAAGAAGTCGATTTAATTCCTGTCTACTCCATCTGGCTGGTTGCACATGTATAACTGTTATTTTAGTTTTGTAATTTACAAGTTGTTATACTTGCAAAATTCTATCATGAAATCTTTGGCATCATTTCTATCAGCAAGGACATATTTCCAGCTACTGGCCATTCTTTGTTTTGAACTTTCACATTCCAATCATCACTAATTATCATTGCATCTTCATGACATGTTTGGTCAATTTCATATTGCAGAAGTTGGTAAAAATCTTCAATTTCTTCATTTTGTCAATTAATAGTTGATACATAAATATGAATAATACTCATAACAGGTCTTCCTTGTAGGCATAGGGTATTAATCTATCACAGACAATATTGTACATCAAGATAAATCTTGAAATGCTCTTTTTTAAGATGAATGTGATGTCATTCCTCTTCAGTTTGTCATTCCTCTTCAGTTTGTCATTCCTCTTCAATTTGTCATTCTTGGCATAGTAAACTATATGATTGTTCAATTCAAAATGGCCAATACCAGTCAGTCCATTGCAGCTCACTAGTGCCTAGGATATCGATCCTTATGCATTCCATTTCGTGTTTGATGACTTCCAATTTTCTAAGATTTATACTTCATACACTCCATGTTCCAATTACTAACAGATGTTTGAAGCTGTTCCTTCTCATTGTGAGTGGTGTCACATCAGCAAACAAAGGTCCTGAAGTCTTTGTTCTATTCATGGCATTAGATCAACTCTATTTTGAGGAGTCAGCTTTTCCCCAGAGCACTCTGAGTGCTTTCCAACCTGAGAGGCTCATTTTCCAACAGCTTATCAGACAATGTCTCACTATATTCATAAGGTTTCCAGTAGTCAATTTTTTCAGAAAGGTTTTCAGGACGTTGTTCCTAGTCTGTTTTAGCCTAGAAGCTCCTCTGGGTCCTGTCCCCCATGGGTGATACTGCTGGTGTTTGAAATACTAGTGTCATAACATCCAGCATAACAGCAACATGCAAGCCACCACCGTATGACAAACTGGCTTTTTATAAGACATGTACTCTTTGTCAGTGAAATATAAATATACCAGATAATGCACCTACTATTTATTATTGTCTGTGTTTGTAAGTATCTGCATATGCACAGCATAATTCTCAAAATAGCTGCATTCATATATATAGTAGTTATTGTTGGCTTTTGTCTTTTATGTTGGGGTTTTACAAGTTGCACATATGGTTTGGTTGTATGGCCAGACCTGTTGTTTCTTGCTAGGTAAGGAGCTCTGGTAGCATAGTGGTTATGAACTGGGCTGCGAACCTTAAGGTCAGTAGTTCAAAACTACCAGCTGTTCCAGGGAAGAAAGATGAGGCTTTCTGCTCCCATAAAGATTTATAGCCTTGGAAACCCTGTACAGGGTCTCTATGAGTTGGTTCTGACTCCACGGCACATAACCACCACCACCACCACCACCACCGTGTTTGTATTTATTATAGCCCAAAATAAATTATTGAGATACAGAAAATGCTAATCACAGTAGTCTGTGTTTTAAGTTTTAAGTCTCATTTTCTCAGTGCAAATAAACAAACTGTTTTCTGCTACTTTCCACAGAGCATCACATACCTTTTGTTTTATGACTTGGGGGAGACTAGTCACAGATTCTGCCCAGGAAGAATATCGCTCTTTGTTTCCAGCAGGGTTGTCCAGCTCTAGGAAACTAAGGCCAGCTATTAAGCCTGAACTTCCGCCTCTGACAAACGGGACCCCATGTAACACGTTATTCTGGTTTCCTATGCAAGGAGAAATCACAAAAAAAATAAGTCAAGATGCATAAATGAAATGAAAACAAGAACATAAAAATGAAAAGTCCATCAAGTATTTTCAAGCAATCCAGCGTGGATGGAGCCCTGAAAGCACAGTGGGTTACATGTTGGACTGCTACCTGCAAGATCAGCAGTTCAAATCCATCAGCAACTGCCATAAAGATTCACAGCCTTGTAAACTCTATACAGGGGTACTATGAGTCATAACTGACTCAATGGCATGCAGCATGAGATGATGGTATGAAATGATATTGTTGTTGTTAAGTACTGTTGAGTTGGTTCCGACCCCATAACGATCCTGTATAGGGTTTCCAAAGAGCTGTTAACTATTAAGCATACATTGTTGTTGTTAAGTGTCATCCAGCCAGTTCCAACTCACAGCAACCCTGTGTAGAGTTTCTGAGGATCAGCTAGTGGATTTGAACTTCCAATCTTGTGGTTAGCAGTGCTTATCCTACAGTACCACACCAGGACTCAGGCATACACTAACACATTAAAATTGGTTCTGAAAGATTTGAATGCTATTTGAATCTTTTTCTATTTTTTCCAATATGTGCCTCACAATTTTAGATATATTTTTCAATACATTTGAGATTGTTTTTTAAGAGCCCGTAGTAGCACAATGGTTAAGCACTCAGCTGCTAACCAAAAGGTCAGTAGTCCAAACCCACCAGTTTCTCTGCAGGAGAAAGAAGTGACAGCATGCTTCTATAAAGGGCACAGCTTAGAAACTACATGAGCATTTCTACTCTCTCCTACAGGGTCTGTGTGAGTCAGAATCAACTCATTGGCAATGAAGTGAAATTGCTTTTTATGCTGGTCTTGACTAAAAATTTCCTAATATTACAGACAGGATCATGGGTGATTTTCATTTTTCCTTTTAACTTTGTAACTTTTCCAGGTTCAAAAATGAGTATATTCTACTTTTGTGATGTGGTTCTATAGAATAAGCACTAAACTATCATGTCAGTTTGAACCACAAGGTCAACAGTTCAAATCCATCAGGCACTCCTCAGAAACCCTATGAGTCAAAACTGAGTCCATAGCACTTAATAGCAATAACAAACACAATCAGAAGATACTGAACCTAATTTTTTTAATGCATAGGTGCTCTCCCATCTCAATTATTAGTTATGTTTTATAATATGCAAATAATCACCCTCTTAACTCTTTTCTGATCCATGGTACATATATCATCCACCAACATTTTCAGTGTCTCAGGCTTCTTGGGATGCTGTTATCCCAGCTGTGCTACAACCTGATGGGAACCTTATAACTGCATACATCTGAAGGAATGGACCTTAGCCCACCAATTCTACCACAGACTCCACTTAGGACAAATGTGTCCCCATAATTATATCAAAATCCACATTATCTAAAAATATACAAATATTTTCTCCTAACTTCAGCATTTCTTCCCTTACTGAAAACACATTATCAAAAGATTCAAAGCAGAAAATAATATATCTGAGCCCCAACAGAGATTTACTGAGAGACTGCCTGAGAGAATAAACCTTCAAAACAGCATTTTTAATAAGCTTCGCCACATAATACTCACGTATACTAAAGTATGAGAATTAATTCTTTAATCTGTATACATGTTTAAGAATTACAGTAACTAAGAATTCAAATTTTATATTTATTTTTAAACCATAGTACCATGGCAGTTGAGTTTATCCCAACAAACAGTGACATTTAGAACTAAGCAGAACTGTTCCATAGGATTTTTCAAGGTGGAATCTTAGCACAAGCAGGTCACCAGGTCTTTCTCCTACAGAGTGACTAGTGGTTTAATACCATCAACATTTTGGTTAGCAGCCAATTGTTTAATTTAAATCATATTCATTTTTCATTTTTGCCTCCAGACAGTCCCCCCAGAAGAAGGAGCTGTGGCCTTTCTATATATACCCCACTGAGCACCTGAGCTCCAAGGCAATCTGGTACAGCAAAGAAGAACCCAGATGGTACAACCTTACTTCCTGCACTTGAATCACTTTTTTGACACTTACAAACTACTCCTGGAACATCTTTCTGTGCCTTAGTGTCTTCATGTGCAAAATAAGAAAACTAATAGTATAAACACCACTTTTCTGTTAGCTCATCATACTGTGGTGACTTGTGTGTTGTTGTGGTGTTAGAAGCTATGTCATCAGTTTTTTAAATGTCAGCAGGTGTGCCCACAGTGGTCAGGTGTCAGCTGAGTTTCCAGACTAAGACAGACTAGGAAGGAGAAGCAGACAACTTCTGAAAGCGAAGTCAATGAAAACTTTATAAAAAGCAGCAGAAAGGCAGCAATGAAGAAATGGGCTGAGTTCAACCAGTCTATTGACTCCCATTGACCTGGAAATGAGAGAGAGAAGAGGAAGGGCTGATTGGTCCAAAGTGTGGTGAGACCTGAAGACATCTGAGCCCATGGACAAGAACATAGCCACAGAGGGCTAAAGCTGAGAGTGAAGAAGCATCCAGCTGATATGAAGTAAGGGGAGATGCACAAGATCACCCAAACTGGCAGACAGTACCTATTTGACCTAGCCTCAATGGCTTGATAATCAGAACTTAACTAGAGGAAGATTACAAAAAAAAAAAAAAATTTGATAAAGGAAATGAGGGTAAATTGCTACAATTTGATGCACTTGACCTATACTCATGGAAGTAGTAACTCAAAATACCAACAGAGAAGGAAGAAGTCTTCATATCAAGTATCAATGCTATCCCCTCTGTACACAGGGTAGATAGGGACAGGCAACTTAGACATTGTTGTTGTTATGTGCCATGGAGTTGGTTCCAACTCATAGCAACCCTGTACAGGGTTTCCGAGGCTATAACTCTTTATGGGAGCAGAAAGCCTCATCTTTCTCCCACAGAACAGCTGGTACTTTCACACTGCTGACCTTGAGGTTCACAGCCCAATTCATAACCACTACACTACCAGAGTGGCTACCTAAAATGAGGGGGCGATAAAGGCATGGAATGACTGGCTTACAAGGTTTCAAGAGGGAGTTTAGTTTAAGAGTATAGGGGGAAAGAAAGCGTCCCTACTGAAGCATTTTCATCTTGTCTAGATGGGTCTAGAGAAAAGAGAGGGGGATAAGATTCTTACGATTCAATAGTGAGTACTCATTATCATGACAAATTGCTACTGTCACAATTGAAAAGGTAGAAGTTTTGTAACAAAAACAGAGGAGTGGTTAATCTTACTGTCCAGAAACAGAGGACCCTAGGACCATCAATGGACTAGAGCACAAGCAGAGTGTGGGACCTTATCCAGAGAAGCAGCGATGCCAGAGATGGAGGCAGTGATGGGGTCATGGAAAGGGGGAGTGGCTGAGGACTCCAGATTCAAGGGAAGAAAGGGACTAAGAGCTGGTGACCAGGAGGCAGAGTTGCAGAATGTCCCCTTTGGAGGTGTAAATTATTATATATGCCTGAGTGTGTGTGTGTTTTAAAGCTAAAGTGGATAGAGAGAAATACTGTTAACTGATGGTACATTGAGGGGATTATAATCATTGTAATGAAACAAGGTGTATGACTTGTTGAGTGTAAAACTGATGATCTGACCTGTAAACTTTCACTTAATCCACAACAAAAACCTTTTAAAATTTTTAAATTAAAAAAAAGCAGCAGAACATTTTCTGATATAGTACTACTGATAGCTGAGCTCTTCAGGATGAAAGTCACTCAAAATATGGCCAGGAAAAAGTTGCCTTCCCAAAGTAGAGTTGACCTTAATAATGTGGATGGAGCAACTGTTCTGGGATCTTCATTTGCTGATGAGGCACAACTCAAAATGAGAAGAAAAAGAGCCAACATTCATATATAGCTAGAGTGTGGACTGTACAAAGTATAAATCTTGGAAAATTAGAAGTCATCAAAAACAAAATGGAGAACATAAACATTGTTATTTTAGGCACTGAGCTAAAATGAACTAGTATTGGCTATTTTTAATTAGACAGTCTTATGGTTTATTATGCTGGGAATGGCAAGTTGAGTAAGAATGGCATCTTATTCATTATCAAGAAGAGCATTTCAAGATTTAGCTTAAAGTAAAATGCTGTATGTGATAGAATAATATACATACACTGACAAGGAAGACCAGTTAATACCAATATTATTCAGATTTATAATACCTGCATTTAAAGTCAATGTTGAAGAAATTGAAGAATTCTACAATGTTGTAGAATTGAAGAATTCTACAAACTTCTGCAGTCTGATATTGATCAAATATGCAAACAAGATGCATAGATAACTACTGATGATTGAAATGCCAAAGTCGGAAATCAGGCAGTGAGGAAAGAAACAATGCTGGCGATCTCATTATAGAATTTTGCAAGTCCAATGAATTATTCATTACAAATACCTTTTTTCAAAAACATGACAGGTGACCATACATCTCACACAGAAATCAAGTTAATTACATCTGTGGGAAGAAATGATGGGACAGCTCAATATCATCAGCCAAAGCAAGGCCAGGGGCAGACTATGGAACAGACCATCAATTGCTTATATGCAAGTTCAGGCTGACATTGAAGAACAAGTCCATGAGAACTAAAATATGGCCTTAAGTAACCACCCCATGAATTTAGAGACCATCTCAGGAACAGATTTGATGCAAACCAGAAGAGTTGTGGGATGACTTAAGTACATCATACATGAAGAAAGCAAAAAGTCATTAAAAAGACAGGACAAAAATAAAAGACCAAAGTGGATATCAAAAGAGACTCTCAAACTTGCTGTTGAGTGTAGAGCAACTAAAGTAAATGGAAGAAATGAAGAAGTAAAATGGCTGACCAGAAAATTTCAAAGGACAACTAGAGAGGACAAAGTGAAATATTATAATGAAATGTGTAAAAACCTGAAGTTGCAAAACCAAAAGAAATGATCAGCATTTATCAAGCTGAAAAAACTGAAGGAAAAATTCAATCATCAGATTACAATACTGAAGGGTTATGTGGGCAAGAAAGACGCAGGAAGGTTATTGAAAGACGCAGGAAGCATCAAAAGAAGATGAAAGGAACACACAGAGTCACGGTGCCATTTCAAGAGGTATCATAAGATCAAGAACTAGTAGTATTGAAAGAAGTTCCAGCTACACTGAGAGCACTGGCAAAAACAATGCTCCAGGAATTTACAGAATACAAGTTGAAAAGTTTCAACAAACTGATTACAACACTGGAGGTGCTCACTCGTCTATGCCAAAAAATTTGCAAGACAGCTATATGGCCAACCAATTGAGAGAGATTCATATTTGTGCCCTTTCCAAAGAATAGTGAGCCAAGGGAATGTGAAAATCATGGAACAATATCATTATTATCACATGCAGGAAAATTTTGCTAAAGATAATTCAAAAAGAGTTGCAGCAGTACATTGACAGGGAACTGCCAGAGATTCAAGCTGGATTCAAAACAGCATGTGGAACAAGGGCTATCATTGCTGATGTCAGATGGATCGTGACTGAAAGCAGAGGAGACCAGAAAGATGTTTACCTGTGATTTATTTAGTATACAAAGGCATTCAACAGTGAGGATCATAACAAACTCCGAATAATATTACGAAGAATGGGAACCCCAAAACACTTCATCATGCAAATGAAGAACCTGTTCATAGGCCATTAGAATAGAAAATGGGAATACTATTGTTGTTGTTGTTGCTAAATGCTGTCTAGTTAGTCCCAACTCATAGTGAACCTATTTAGGATTTTCAAGGAGTGGCTGGTGGATTTGAACCACCAACCCTGTGGTTAGCAGTCCATTGCTGATCCTACAGTGCCTTACCAAGACAAGGAGATAGTGAATGGTTTAAAATCAGCAGTGGTGTGTGCCAGGGTTGTATTCTTTCAGCATATTTATTCAGTCTTTATGCTGATCAAATAATCCAAGAAGCTGGATGGTATGAAGAAGACTATGGCATCAAGATTTGATATACAGGATTTGATTTCAGACACAACCTTGTTTTCTGAAAACTAAGATGACATGATATACTTACTGATAAGGATCAATATGGATTGCACCTCAATGTAAAGAAAATGAAAATTCTCACAGTGGACTAAATACATAGCATCATGATAAACGGAGAAAATATTGAAGTTGTCAAATGTTTCATTTTACTTGAATCCACACCCAACGCTCTTCAAAACAGCAGTCAAGAAATCAAGTGACATACTGCATCAGGCAAATGTTTAAAGTGTTATAGAGCAAAGATGCTACTTTGAGGACTAAGGTTACCCCAGCCATTGTATTTTCAATTACATCATATGAATGGGAAAGCTGGAGAATGAATAAGGAAGACAGCAGAAGAATCAGTGCATTTGAATTACGGCATTGGCAAAGAATGCTGTAAGTACCATGGACTACCAGAAGAACATATCTGTTTTGGACAAAATATATTGGCCAGTCCCTGGAGAAGGAAATCATGCTTACAAATGAAGATAGTCATTGAAAGAGAAGAGGCACCCCAAAGAGATGGAATCAAACAGTGGCTGCAACAGTGGGCTTAAACTTAATGAGAATTGTGGGGATGGTGCAGAATCGGGCAGTGCTTTGTTCTGTGGTGCACAGAGCCACTATGATTTGAAATTGACTCAACAGTACCTAACAACACAATTGTATATAACTCTTAGGTAGGAGAAATGGCTAATTTTTGTAAATCACTTAAAACTGTACCTAGCACATAGTAGGTGTTGTATGTTTGTTGCAGGATAAAATAAAAGCAACTTCCAATTACCAGCCTAACCGACATCTATTTCCAGACATTATCTGTTTTACCTAGTTCTCCTTTGTCCTGTCAGTTTCATGAAGACAGATAATTTCTCTGTCCCTCTCACTGCTATGTCTCCAGGGCCTAGAACAGTTCCTAGCACACAGTATATCTTCACTGCCACCAATTGCCAGTACAGCCAATTCCAACTCATGGTGATTCTCTATGTATCAATGAAGAACTTCATATGGTTTTCAATGACTGATTTTTCAGAAGCAGATTGCAAGACCTTTCTTTGGAGGTACCTCTGGATGGATTAGAACTGCCAATCTTTAGATTAGCAGCCTAGTGCATTAACTATTTTTGCCACCCAGGACTCCATAAATAGCTGATGAATAAAGTAACTGAAGGAGTGAGTAAACCTTGTTTTACTGCTCTGTCTCCCTCCTTCTTGCAGCATCTATCACTATCCCAAGAATCCTAACTCTCTGAGAACTTTGGCATCTGGGTCAATCTTTGCCTTCACCCAGTTTCTGCCATTGCCCCAAAAGAATTTATGTAATAATAGCAATCCACCCATGAACTCGTACAATGCACTGCAACTGAGCTTCCAACACAACTACATACAGAATCTCTTTCAGGCAATTAGTTATTATCGCTAAATCAAAGAATATTTTCCAGTCCTTCTCTTTCTTAATTCCATAACACTTTGCTCTTTGCACTACTCTGTCCTTCCCCTCTATTTTCTGTCATTGCTATCTTCTGCTTCTTATCCTATCAGGCTTTTCCTACTCAGTCTCTCTTTTTTCCCTACAACTCTCTGTAATTATTCATCTAACCAAGAAGAGGTCATGGAACCAGGATATCATTGCTGATGTCAGATGGATCTTTAGAGGCACCAAAAATGTTGGCAGCGTCAAGTATCTATGTCAGAGTGGAATTGAACTTCATCCTGATCTTGTCATTTTTCTAGTATTCTTTTCTCTTTTTTTTTTTGCCAACTGTCATGGTAGAAAAGAATAGTGTCCACTGAAAACATATTTATGATATACTAATGACCCCCAGTGACTCCCCCACACTGCATGGTGTCATGCTGCTATAACATATGAATGAGAAATCAGAGGTAAAAATAACCAAAAAGATGGATTTTGCACACAAAGTACAACATCTGCTAAAGCTCCAAAAGCCATAGAAGATAGGAATGAAGGATACACTTCTAATGCAAAGTGTTCCCTCTTGTTTACCTGAAGCTGATTTTAAGGCATCTAGTAGGTCCTTGCATTTGTTCTCTGATGTTTTAACAATGACAAAATTTAAGCCTGAGAAAGAACATTCCTTCATATTTAATGAATCATAACCTGAAAGAAAATCAAAAGTCATGTACTTAATTTCCACATTCATTGAAGAATCATCTAAGAAGTGGTCAGGTGTGAAAAGGGTTGATCCCTGCTAAGGTGGCTATCTATAAATAGTGACAAGATTACTGGGGTGGGTAGGAGGGTGAGGGAAAGGAAGACATTATGCTTGGGGGTCACTGAGCTGTTAAGGGTGACAGGAAAATTCAAGAATGGTTCATGGTGATATGGTTGAGCAACATTATGAACATATTTAAGGTCACTGTGAATATATTAACACTCATGTGAAGATTGCTGAAATGGAAAATCATTTGTACCTATATACTTACCACAATTTTAGAATGTATTTAAAAAAAAAAAATGACAGGATATTTAAATTAATAAGTGCTCTAGAAGGGAAGAAGGAGGAATATTTGTTTGGGGTACTTTCAGGAAAGGAAGAGATGAAACAGTGAAGGAAGTAGAAATTGAGAACCCATCAAGAATTCAAACACCCATCCAGCACATGCCACTTTTGGGGGTATATCCAAGTCAGATTGTGATCACCTCCAGCCCATGCTCTGAAGACCTCAAAAGTTGGGTTCTATGATAATTCATTCCTAAAACCACAATTATATTGCTTCAGTCTCTACACCTTTAACATCTGAGGTTTTTAACATATCTTTCCCATGATTCTTAACCTTAGGATGTGACTATTCTCACGCATTACCGAATGAAGCTTTTCCAATATGAGTAAAATTTGGAAGAATAATAGAAAATAATGAAGTGTGGAAATCTATTTCTCATATAATTTTTACTAACTATAACTAAAGTAACCCTAATATTACTTAATTTAAAGAACAATTGGGGAGGCATATATTATGGCTTTGATTACATTTAAATTAAAATTTTAGAAAGAATAAAATCTGTTCAAAAATGAAATTCTTCACTAACTAAACAAATGCTTCCATCAATATGGAAAGCTTAAAAAAATTCTTCTCCATTTCTTTAAATACTAAAGGGAAAAAAAGGATAATCAAACCAGTTACTAGAGTGATTTTCCAAATATTGACCCATGTTTGCTACAGAAATCAGAACTTATGCATTCATCTCTTATGCATTCCAGTCCCTGTGAGGTTAGGAAAATTCAAATTTTAATTTGGTACATGCATACAAAAATACAGAAAACTTATTATAGTCCAACCACAAGGGAAGTCTACAAGACCTCCTCTGAATATCATGTAAGAAGTCTTCTTACTCTCTTCTAAGATTGAAAGGAAGATTTTACTGTAGAGAAAAACCATGAAGATGAGCATGATTTGGAAAGGCGAAGTAAGTGTGAGTTTAAAACTAAAGACCAACATGGATGGAAGCCCTTTTGATTTGAAATATTGGAAAGCTGGAGCAAAATATCTGGAGACGAGTGGGTGCTAATCAAGACAGATAAGGAAGCTCCTCCTTTCACTATGAGGTCAGCAAAGCAAAAAAATGAGTGGTACACCTTGATTCGAACAAGAATAAGGTCACTGTGGCAACAGTACCACATATATTAATAAGTCAAGCTAACTTTGGAGCCATTCAGAAGTTTAAATACCTCTCTTACAATCAATGTGATCTAGGGTAAATCCCTTACTAGCAATGAGTTCCCATTTCCCCTATCTGTGGGAGAGGGTATTTATAGTGCCCACCTCACTGGATTATCACTAACATCTGTAACTCACCTGCCATAAGGAAGGCATCCAATAAAGTTTAGCTAACGTTACAAGCAAACTTGAGCTGTTCAAACCAGATTTATATAAAGGAATGTGAGTGGTAAGGAGCAGAGGTAAATTTTAAAAAAATTTAAGAAACATTTGATTTCTGGAATATCCATAGATTCTTCATTAGGATTTTCTTGAGGAACAATAGTTAATCAGAAAAATGGGAAAGGTTAAAAATTATTATAAAATCCACTCTGCACATCCTGATTGGTGTACTTCACATTCCAGGGAGCCATCCAAAAGAGTGAGTAGGCCTTTCTTAAAGGATATCTGCTTTTGAGTGGACTATAATGGGTTCCCTACAATTTGGATTTCTTTGCAATTTAAATCTCTCAATGTGTGATATTTAAGAGTTCCAAAATTTAAATTAACTGTATTTTCTTTTCCCCCATAAAATTCCTGTGATGCTTTTTTACAACAATTTTCTTATACTCTACCATATTGTTTCATTTTTTCCGAGTCTATATAAAAGAGAACTTTGTATTCTCCTCCTAAGGATCCAGACTGCAAATAATGAGTCCCATATTGGTCGATTAGTCTTCTATAAGCATTGTAGTCATAGAGGGAGGGGAGATGGGAGAGTTCTTTCCAGAATGGCTCAGCAAGGTGTAAAAATTCTGGATTGTTATTGATGAACTGAGCCACTTCCACAGTATTCTGAATAATCATCAACTGATAACTCTAAGGGAAGAAGAAAGAAGAAAAGGAGTTTTAGGCACAGATTAAAAAACAAAGCACAGTGGAAGTAATTACTTCTTTGATGTCTCCATCAACTAACTGCCACTTGAATTAAACCCAGATTATGAAGTTTGATTTTTGATGCATGGTGAGTTTTCTTCTGAGGCCACAAACTGGAAGTAATCTAAGACTTGTTTAGAGTTTCAAACAGCGATGCCCAATATAATTTCATTTATACATAAACTCTAATCCCTAAGACCCAGTTGCTATGCCTTGCCCAACTAGGAAAAGAGAATCAAATTCACTAACTACAAAACAGTTTCACAATAATGTGTCCTTACACTAAATCCCCATTTTTGTCAACAATATTATATGGAGAAGATGATAAATGAGTTCACAGTTTGTATTTCTACAGTCAGCTTCTTACGTATAAAGCAAATGGGATCAATATTCCTTTATGTCTCCCTTGTCTGATTTATTAATCAAGTTACCTACTTTAAGAAGTACATAAAATATGCAGATTATGAATGATCAGCCTGAAAAACTATTCAGCAATAAATGAGCATTAATTAGTCCAATATATCTCAATTGTTCATATTTCTCAAGATGAAGACTGCAATATCTCAAAACAATAATGTTTAGAATCTAACTTACTCAGATAAAAAATTTGGCATCTCAAACTCATGCAGTGCTTTTAAATCTTTTCATTTCACGTATCTTCTAAAGACACTCAAACACTGAGGTTTAGAAAGCACATCTAAATACTAATTGAACTTTATAAATCCTGTATGTTGTTGTTGTTAAGTGCCATCAAGTCAGTTCTGACTCATAGCAACCCTATATAGGGTTCTTGAGGAGTGGATGGTGAGCTTGAACCACTGACCTTATGGTTCAAACCAACCTTGCAGTCCAGCACATTAACCTGCAGTGAGACACCAGGACTCTGAATTGTGTATGTATAACATTTAAAATAATAGTGACAATAATCATAAATGAGAATTTGGGGACAATGTTTTTTGTTTGTTTGTTCTTTGGGATAGTTTTAACTAGAAGATTCAAGATAAGTTATTTTTTCTAAGATTTTCAAATATGAATACATTTATGAACAAATAAGTAGAGCAAATATATTATTAAAGAGAATTAGCAAGACAAGATTGTACATTTTTTAAATAAATATATTATTGCTTTACAGAAGCACTATTTCCATGAATGGAAAAGGAAAGCCAATCTTTTTAGTAAATATATTTAAGTTAAAGTATATTTATACTCAAAGTTGTTGTTGTTAAATGCCATTGAGTCAATTCTGACTAGTAGCGATCCTGTGTAGGGTCTCCAAAGAGCGGCTGGTAAGTTTGAACCACCCACTTTGTTAGTAATACTAAAAGTATTAATGGAGTCCTGGTGTGATACTGTAGGGTAAGTACTGAACTGCTAACCACAAGGTCCGTTTTAACTGAAAGTAGGTCAGCGGTTCATACACAGTTTGGAAATCATATACAGGGTCACTATGGGTTGGAACTGACTCTACGACACTTAACAACAACAACAACTCAGTATTAATCAAGTTGTTGTTGTTGTTAAGTGCCATGAAGTTGGTTCTGAAATTCCAACCAATAGCAACCCTATATAGGATTTCCAAAGAGGAGCTGGTGAGGTTGAACTGCCTACCTTGCAGTTCAAACAACTTTGCAGTCCAGAGCATTAACCCACAGCACCACACCAGGACTCCCAACAAGTTAGTAATACTTAAAACCAGAGTATTATAAAAAAGCTAACTGATATTTCATACTGACCTTTTTCTTATGGATTTCATGGTTATTTGAAGTGCTACTGTGTGAAGAAGAAGAAGATGAAGATCCGAAAAAGGACTTCTTTATACTGGATGATGTATGTATTGTTGATGTTTGTGTTACATATGACCAACTACTATCGTAAAATTCATAGTTAAAATCATTATTTACTTTCACCTGGAAAGAAAATTTAAAATATTTGCTATAAACAAAGCAATGCCTTGGATATACCATGATACTTAAACATAGATGCTTCTTTTTTACAATCTTCCCAAAAAGACAAAGCTCTTCAGTGAGGAGAAATCATTATCTTTGATGCCAATGTGCAGGCAGGAGAGCCATATATGGAAACTCAATATATATTCTACATAATTTTTCAGTAAACCTAAAACTGGTCTATAAAATAAAGAAAAAAAAGTAATGATAATTAAGGCAAAACCTGTAAAAGGATGTGTATAAGGAAAAGTTTATTATATGACTACTGTCTGTTAAACTTCAGGAAGCGTGGTATTAGTAATGGCAATCCTGAGTAGTTCACAAAATGCATTTCTATATAAACGTATTCCATTTTCCTTGAATATCAGCATTTTACCAAAGTTAGCAAATTAACAAAACTACAATAACAGAAAACTAGAAGCATTTGGCTCTCCATTTCTCATTTGTAATATAGGGGATCAGTGATACAAATAGGTACTGGGAAGCAACTAGATTATTCAAACTCAGTTTTTATGTTTTATGTGACCCAGTATTGAAATTTAATTTTCTAATTTTGTTTGACTTGAACAACTGCTAAAATTATATCTCTTTCTTTAATCTTATTTTAAATGGTAGAAGAAAAGGACATCCTGAAAGAATTTTAAAGCAAATATGAGGTTAGTCATGCGTGGCTAACTAAGAAGTGACAACTCAACTCAAGTATATTTTATACATCCGTATTGGGTGGAGGAGACAACCCTTTATTTACTCTAGAATAAGCATCAAAATGAAATATCTACACAGATCTGACAACGAATGCAAATACTTCCACTGGAAACAGTCAAGAAAAATTGCAGTGATAAAGAAGCCTGCACACACTCTATATAAAGAGGTCACCCCAAACTCAGTTCCCTCTGATAGTTGGCATGTTCCAGTATTGGTAAGTCGATGGATTCTAGTGCTGATTGTGTCTTCGTTATGTAGTGCTGCTATAACAGAGGTACCAGAAATGGACAGCCTTAACAAACAAAAATTTATTTTATCACAGTTTAGGAGACTGGGAAACCAAATTCGGAGCACTGGCTCTCAAGGAAGTTAGCTCTGAAGGAATGTCCTTGACTCTTCAGCTTTTTCTTCCTGGTTCCTTCAAGATCTCTGTGTGTCTTGGCATCTAACTTACCCCATCTCTGCTCTGCTTCATCTGTTTGTTTTATGTCTCAAAAGAAATTGACTCAAAATATACCTAAACTGATCATGTCTCAATAACATAACAAAGAAAATTAATTTACAAATGGGATTATAACAACAGATAAAGGGGTTAGAATTTACAACATATATTTAGTATATAACATTTTACCCTTTAGCATCACAAAATCCATGTCCTTGTCACATGCAAAACGCATTCATTCACACTATCACATCACCCCAAATATCATAATTCTACTTCAAGTTCAAAATCTCATCTTCGGAATTATCTAAATCAAATATGAGTGAGACCTTAGGCATATTCCATCTTTTTGCAAAAGTCTTCTTCACCTGTGAACTGTGAAATCCATACTACAAGTTATCTCTTTCCAAAGTGCAATGGTAAAATTGGCACAAGAAAGACTTTTGTATTACAAGTTGAAGTGCAGTGTAGTGAATTATTTAATGTCTCTTCTAGCCATAGTCTTGGTAAATTCCCACCAAATGACTTTTTCTTGATAGGTCTGAGTAGAAGAAGGTGGGGAGAAATGCTGATGGATTATATGATTCAATTGCAAGTGATTGTTAACAGGGCTAATTGTATAATAGTAAAATCTTGGAACCTCTAACATGGGCAAAAAATGAGCCATCTCAGAATCAGGAGTGGAGAT